CCCAACCAACCCCAAAGCCAACAAGCTGAACTTGGGAAAGGATTTGCCCCCAGCAAGTGATGAATAGTCAAAGATCTGAGTTTTGGGTCGGAGAATTCGAGTGGAGCAGGGAGATGTTTATGTAGCCAAGAGCAATGCTAATGGTCTTTGATCAAAGAAAGACACACATTTGCTTTCAGCGCTCCTGGAGACACTTCTGAGCTCAGCCCCGCAGAAAGTTCTGCCTCTCCAGGCACTTGGAAGCATTAATTAGCAGCAGAATGGCCCCAAATTGGGATAATCACCCACTGCCTTCATCAAGCCCATGTTTTGTGTCCTCTCCTCCAAGGCCTTGGAGCTGTTCCTATTCCTGCTGTCCTTGGATGCAGCTGGAGGCCCAGGTTGCTCCCGAGATCTCCCTTCTCACATCCGTGCCTTCAGGTGGTTTTAAATAAGCTCAAGCTCAAGGCTGGCTTAGGCTAAGCCCTGCAGCCTTTGCTGCAAATGCCACTGGAGGCATCTGCCCCAGTGGAAGGCAAATCATCTCCCAAATCCCAGCCCTTCCCTGAAGGCAGCACAGCCCTGCACTCTCCAGACTGACGCTGAAATCTTCAGGATGCTCCAATCCCACCTTGGCTTCATCCTCTGCTGCAGCACAACCTCGGCATAGCTAAGACTTCACCTCTGTTTTTCTGGCTGCATAATCCAAGATTTCCTAGCTCTGCCTCCTTGGTTTTGGTCTGTCCCTGATGCTGATCCAGGCTTTGGAACAGTCAGAGAATCATGGAATGGTTCGGGTGGGAAGGGACCTTAAAGCCCATCTCATTCCAACCCCTGCCATGGGCCAGGTTGGATGGGGCTTGGAGCAATCTGGGATAGTGGAAGGTGTTCCTGCCCTGGAACTGGATGGTCTNCTGGCTTAGGCTAAGCCCTGCAGCCTTTGCTGCAAATGCCACTGGAGGCATCTGCCCCAGTGGAAGGCAAATCATCTCCCAAATTCCAGCCCTTCCCTGAAGGCAGCACAGCCCTGCACTCTCCAGACTGACGCTGAAATCTTCAGGATGCTCCAGTCCCACCTTTGCTTCATCCTCTGCTGCAGCACAACCTTGGCATATCTAAGACTTCACCTCTGTTTTTCTGGCTGCATAATCCAAGATTTCCTAGCTCTGCCTCCTTGGCTTTGGTCTGTCCCTGATGCTGATCCAGGCTTTGGAACAGTCACAGAATCATGGAATGGTTCGGGTGGGAAGGGACCTTAAAGCTCATCTCATTCCAACCCCTGCCATGGGCCAGGTTGGATGGGGCTTGGAGCAATCTGGGATAGTGGAAGGTGTTCCTGCCCTGGAACTGGATGGTCTTAAAGGTCCCCTCCCACCCAAACCATTCCATGATTCTACAATTCCATGATGAGTGTGCTCTTGAGCACAGTTAAAAATCCAGGGAAGTCTCCAGGAGCTACTAATGGAGTACCCTCAGGATTACCCCAAATTAGACAGCAGCAAATTTACAGCATTAACTGTCCCTGGGTCTGCTCCTAGAAAGGATTTGGATGGAGTTTTGATGCTTCTGCCTTGGATCAGCCCTGAATTCCCACCATTCCTGCCCCCCCACTGCCTGTTCTACCCACGTTTCTCGCCCGTCTCTTCTCTCCCTGTTTGTCACACGCTTCCCATCTCCAAATCCTCTCCTCTCCTGAGGGTGCAGAGATGAGCAGACGTGTGACTGTACAGAAATGGCACCTTCTCCCTCCCCAGCTCCCTGTACATCACTTGGAATCTGGAATATCTCCCCATTCCAGGCGTCAGCACTATTTTTGTTGCAACTCTTTTTCTCCTGCCTTCGCTGCGGGGATGTTCAAAAAAAAAGGAGTTTCAGGCGGGTCAGCGTTTTGAAAACTGGATCAGAAACAAGAAAACACTTTTTATTATGAATTTCAGACAATCACCAAGGTTGGAAAAGGCCTCCAGTATTAACTCCTGAGAGTTTTGCTGCAGCCTCTGGCTCCCTAAGGACGAGAGGGGTAAAAAAAGGTGGGAAAATGTGGTTTTACCCACCTACTTATTTACAGTTAGGTCATAATTTATTGCACAGTGATCTGTGGCTGTAAAAATACCTTTTAAGCAGGAAACAGGCATTAAAATGATTCAAAGGCTGGAGAATGTGCCAGATTGAAAGGACTTCAAAGAGCTCAATCTGTTTAGTTTATCAGAGAAGATTCAAGTGTTGGCTTGAAGCAGGATAAAAGCCCTTCCACAAGGGAAAAATGCTGGATGCAGAAGAGTTTAATAAGCAAGAAAGGGAAGAATCAAATTAATCTTAATGCTGGAGGTATTCAGACAGGAGACAGGGCTTCACCTTTTGATGGTAGAGGGGATTAATCGTGAGAAGATCAGCAGGGAAGTGATGAAACTTTGGTTTTGCAAGGAATGAATGTCCTTAACCCCAGAGGAAGCCTGGATGCCTTCGTGGAAAATGTATTTTAGATAAATTGCAGTTCCTGAGCTCAGGAGTGGGAGAACTGTGTGAAACAAGAGGGCCCAAGAAATGCAGGGAGCCAAACTCCACGAGGTGATGGCCCTCCCTGGATCAAATCCTGTGAATCATCACCAGAAATCTGAATTCCGAGGGAGGAATAGGGTGATGCAGGAGCCCAAAGCAGAGATGTCAGCAGGTCCCAGATTTAGGATCAAAGTGGGAGGCTGGGAAATGCATCCTGTTATGTATAAGTTGGTGCATCACTTCCAAAATATCAATCCAGCTTCATTCCTGAAGGCTGGGAAGGCAGGGATGGGGACTGAGCTCTCTGTTCTGGCCACTCAGAAACTTGGACTCACACTCACTTTGCTCTGGGGTGGAACCAAAAATCTTCTGGTGCAGTAAAAAAAAATAAAAAAAAAGAATGATTTGGGGACTTTCAGTAAGACATAAATACACATTTTTTTTGTTGTTTAAAAGGAACAAAACCTTGAGGGTCTTATTCCATTAATCACGACCTACACAGGCGAAAAAATAAATTTGTCTAGGGCTTGAGAATTTGTGAAGTGAGCCTGAGAATTTGGCATGGACTGGAGAATATTCAAACAGCAGGACATGAGAACATTCCAGTACTCAGGACACAAGAATATTCAAACAGCCAGGACATGAGAATATTCCAATACCCAGGACATGAGGATATTCAAAACCTCAGGACATAAGAATATTCCAATACTCAGGACATGAGGATATTCCAACACCCAGGACATGAGAATATTCCAACACCCAGGACATGAGAATATTCCAATACCCAGGACATGAGAATATTCCAACACCCAGGACATGAGAATATTCCAACACCCAGGACATGAGAATATTCCAATACCCAAGACATGAGAATATTCCAATACCCAGGACATGAGGATATTCCAATACTCAGGACACAAGAATATTCAAAACCTCAGGACACGAGAATATTCCAACATCCAGGACATGAGAATATTCCAACATCCAGGACATGAGAATATTCCAATACCCAGGACATGAGAACATTCAAAACCTCAGGACATGAGAATATTCTAATACCCAGGACATGAGAATATTCCAATACCCAGGACATGAGAATATTCCAACACCCAGGACATGATCCTGAGCAAATAACTGGTAAATCTGACTCTGTCCTGAGTGGTTGGACTGGATGATCTCCAGGAGTCCCTCCCAGCCCCAAAAATCCCATGACTCCCTGAATTTCAGGCACAAAACTTGCCTTGTCGTTCATGAGCTGATGGTTCAGAGGGGTCCACGTGCTCATCTTGATCTGCAGCTTGGAGCCATCCATGTTCCTGGGAGGAGCAAATGCCATGGATGCAGGAGGTGGGGGGAAGCTTCTTGTCAGCACCAGTGGCTACAACATTTACACAAAACAAAGGCCAGCATTATCCCTGTGCTGTTCCTTTACACGGAAAGCAAATAATTTTAAGAAGGAATCCGGTGGTTTCACAGCACAGCAACAGCACGAGGAAAATTACTGGAAAATCGGGTAAAGCCTTTTATTTTATGCACCCACAGTAACCATCAGAAGGAAGTAAAATCCCTGGAAGTGTCCAAGGCCGGGTTGGATGGGGCTTGGAGCAATCTGGGATAGTGGAAGGTGTCCCTGCCCATGGTTGGGGGTGGAACTGGATGATCTTTAAGGTCCCTTCCCAACCCAAATCATTCTGGGATCCTGGGATTTCCCCGTGTGCACTAATAAATACTTGATAATTAAGCAGGTTTTCCCCGTCACAAATGTTGTTGAATGTGTCTTTGAACAGGCTTCCCAGGGCAGTGGTGGAGTCCCCACCCCTGGAATTGTTCAAAAACCACGTGGATGTGGCACTTGAGGACGTGGGTTCGAGGTGAACACGGTGGTGCTGGTTGATGGTCGGACTTGATGATCTCAGAGGTCTCTTCCAACCTTAACAATCCTACAATTCAGTGATTTTTTCCTGTGTGAATGATCACAACAGGGTCCTTGCAGCATGCTGGAAAGTACAGGAAATTCCCTTTTCCAGTTATTGGGACTGAAAACTGGAGGTAACCGGTGTGTCTGCTGGTTTTGGTGGGCACATCGTGCCAAGTCTCAAAGGGGCAATTTGTTTCTGGAACCCTTAAATGAAAAAAAAAACGAAACCCCAAATGGTTCAGAACTGACTGAAATCTTGCAGGGTCCTGTGTTCAGGCAGAGCAGGTTTTGATGGTTGGGATTGTGCTGCTCTTTTAAACTGAAATTTCTACGTGAAGCAAATCAGACATTTAACAAAATGTTCCTTTCCCAATTAACTGAACTTCATAAAATTGCTAAGGTTGGAAAAGACCCTTAAGATCACCGAGTTCAACTGTCTCCAAAGTAATTTCTTCTTTAGTTCTTGCCCAAATGTAGGAAAAGTTGTTTTTTTTTTTCTTTATCTTCTATCCTTCAGCTGGATTCAGCAGAATAATGCCATTCCTCACCTCAAGCATCCAATTCCCAGACTGGAGACTGAAACTGCAGCAGCCTGAAAACCAGATAATTCCTTTACCACATTAAAAATATCTCTGTTTCCTGCACACAGTGATTAGGCAGTTTTCCTGTAAATACCTCAGATTGCTTTAAATCTTCGTGGTAATAAAGATGGATAACAGGAATTTTGGAACACAAGAAAAGGCAAATCCATGAAGTGACTCCCATATTGTCTTTCCAGCCTGCCCTGAACCCAAACTCCTCAAAACTCACCCAGAAAAAGGACATTTCTTGCTAATACAGCTCTGAGGCTCAGGAGACACATCATGGAAGCTCAGATCCCATTCCTTACCCAGACACAATTCCTCAATATATAAATGGATTAATAATCTTCAAAACCCACTGCAGGATCTGCCCGGGCACGTGACTTTTATGATTAATTTTTCTTATGGAATCAAAGAAACATAAAGGAAAACCAATGAAGAACCTGTTACTTTTTCCTCTCTGCACCTGGGGATGTAACATGGTCCTTGGAAATAAGGTCATTACAAGGGCCTGAGTTCTTCCTGCTTTTTTTTTTTTTTTTTTTTTTTGTTTTTTTGGAGGCTAAAGGTCCTCAAAGAACATATTGTCTGCACATGGAAATTTTGACTTCCCACAAAAAGACGCTGAGACCTGAAGGACTCACCGAGGTTTCACAGCCCCAAACTCTGCAGTTGGACAACGCCAGAGGCTTCTTGTGCAACTGAGTAGGTGTTTTTTTGGGATACACTTTGGGATGGCATCACTCACTGGGCTGTTTTTGTTTTGTTTTCCTGCAAGGCCCCTGCCCATTCCAATGCACAGAAACAGCTCCTCTGCCAAAAAAAAACAGGTTCGGGCAACCGTGTCCTGTTTTTCAGGGACAACTCTCTCCATTAGTCACAACCCCACCAGCTGGCACTGCAGAACACTCCCAGCCCCGGGTTCACGTCCCAGTTTTCCCTCACAGATGTGGTTTCTTGGGGCTGGAGCGGCCACATTCCCGGGGCACCTCTGAGGGCTGGCACGGGAGCAGCTCCCGGGGCCTCGGGACCCTCTCGTGCACCTGCTGTGCCAAAAATGGGGCTCAGGGTATGGAAAAAGCCTGGCTACAACATCCCTGTGAGGGGCAGGCACTGATCTCTTCTGTTTCCAGCTATAGGACATGAGGGAGTTGTTCTAGGGGAGGTTTAGGTTGGATCTCAGGAAAAGGTTCTTCCCCCAGAGGGTGGTTGGGCACTGAACAGGCTTCCCGGGGAATGGTCACTTCCCAAACCTGCCAGAGCTCAAGGAATGTTTGGACAAGGCTCTCAGGGACACAGTGGGATTTTGGGGTATCCTATACAGGGCCAGAATTTGGACTGGATGATCCTTGTGAGCCCCTTTCAGCTCAGGAGATTCCATGATTCCATGATCCTGTGATTTTATCTTCGTGCCCTTCCACGATCCCAGGTTGCTCCAAGACCCATCCAACCCAGCCTTGGACACTTCCAGAGATCCAGAGGCAGCCACAGCTTCTCTGGGAATTCCATCCCTCACAGCCAAGAACTCCTTCCCAATATCCCACCTAAATCTCCTCTCTTTTGGTTTAAAGTCGTTCCCCTTCGTCCTATCACTTCAGCCAGGGCCCCACTTCTCTTCTGCAACAGTCTTTATCTTTGGACTGGTTGCCCAAAACAACATTCCAGAGGTTGCTCCAGCTTGTTCTTCACATACCCTGGGATGAAATTCATCCAGCTCAGCTGATCCGAAAACATTCCACCAGCAAGAGAGATGGGATGAGGTTAACAGGGAATCAAGCTTTAAATACATATAAGGAATGTGTTGGTTCACTACCTAGGGAGGAAAAACTATTGACACACAATGCCCAGAAAAAAATCACCTCTTACCCTTCCAGAAAAAATAAAAAGGGAATGTGGGAGCAGGTGGCAGGAATAGTAAATACTAGTGCAGAAGAGATTTGGGGGGAAGACTGAGGAAAGTCCAACTTTTAGGAGTTTATGCGGGGTTTAAAAGAGGAAAACTGCCTCGGTTACTGCAGTCAGAGTCCCTGGGAATGGTTCCCAGTTTGGATGGAAGGATACACTGAGTGGGGATCCAAGAGATTTTGGTGATGTTTGAAGAAGATGAATAATTCCACAGGGCAGGAAACATGAATGGTGGGTTCTAACAGCGAGACAATTTAAATTGGAAACCACTGGAAATACTTTCACTGATTTCAGCACAAGCTGGGTCAAGTTTTTGGTTTAAAAACCCAAGTGATTGCACTGAAGAAAGTTTAACAACCCATAACGATCATATCCCACTAACTAAGGGCATGGGAATAATTTCCTTTACCTGGACTAATCTCTGCTTATGGTTTGGGCAAACCATATTCAAAACAACTCCTGCAGGAGCAGACCCACTTTTATTAATGTTTTTTGACCACATCCCTACAGCAAAGAGCCTTTGTGGTGCACAGAGCCCGGCGCACTCAGAATTTTAAGGGTGGATTTTCCCCAATCACATAAATCCACGGGAAAATCCGAGGAGTTCAGCTGGGAATAAACAGAGTTTAATGGAATCGACCTCAAGCTAAGACAGGAAAGCAATTTTGATTGCAATTATTTCAAAAATAAGCAGTGGGATGATGGGAGAAATGCTTTGAG